AGACGTGCACTGACACGCACTGGGGAGTGCAGTGCTCCTGCGGGGCTGGCTGGGTGCTGCAGGCCGATGGGCAAAGCTGTGCTGGTAAGTGGATGTCAGGGTGCATGTGCTTCCGTGACGTGTGGCCTTGGCCACTGGCAGCAGTGTCTCCACAGAGCCCGTGCTTCTGGGGAAGCACCTGCCTCTGCCCTGCTCCTGCCTGTGTGTCACACCTGGTCCCGTAAAGATTGTGTCTAGATAATGTCCCAGCAGCAGCTGGTGCATTTTGGGGCTGAGGCCCATATTCTGGTATCTAGGCAGCTTGCCTGTAGTCCCAGGGGAACAATGACAGTGTTGTCTGGGGCAGCTCTGTAGCAGGCTGCTGACCTCACCTATCCGTGCAGATGTGGATGAGTGCTCCCTGGAGTACAGCCCCTGCAGCCAGCTGTGCACCAACACCCCGGGCACTTTCAGCTGCGCCTGTCTCCAGGGCTACACCCTGCGGCATGGCACCGCCTGCGAAGTGACAGGTAGGGAGAGGAGGGGAGCATGGACTGGGCAGTGCCCCCCGCTAGCCATGTCCCTCGTCAATGAGTGACTTTCCTCTCACCCTGGCAGACAATTCAACACAGATCCTGGTGGCCGTGGGGCAGGACCTGGCCCTTCTGGATGTACGCACCCAAGCCTACCGGCCCCTGCTCTCCACTGAGACGGAACCCCGCGCCCTGGTGTATGACCTGCTCCGAGAAACCTACTACTGGCTGACAGAGGATGGAGAGCTCCGTGTTCACCACCCAGGGAAAGGCACACAGCCTCTCTATGCAGGTGAGGAGGACCAAGCATGCTGGTTGCTGTAGTAGGGCTGAGATGGGTGCTGAGAGCTGGCCTGCCACCCCAGTACTGCTTTTCCTATGCAGAGGAAAGGGCAGCCTGAGTTTGCCACACAGCCTGGAGCAGGCGTGCCTTAAAACTGCTCTGTCTCTACAGATGCCGGAGAGGTGAACAGCATCTCTGTGGACTGGTTCACAGGGCAACTGTACTGGGCCAGCAGCCATCCTCCAGCCATCCGTGCAGGGCTGGGTGATGGCCGTGGTTATGTGATAGTGCTGGGGAAGGACATTGCACCAGAGCAGCTGACAGTACATCCAGCTGCAAGGTGAGCAATGAATGAGCCAGGGTTGGCCCAGGCTTCTGGGATTGCAGTGGTGGTGGTGACTATGTGATGCCTGCTGTGGGGCTATGGCAGCACTGGTATTATCCTGTGAAGTGGGTGCTGAGTGCCTGCCCCCAGGTCCCTGTACTGGGTCAACCGTGGACAGAGGGGCCGGACAGTCATTGCTGCAGCTGGCATGGATGGCTCCAACCGGCAGGAGCTCACAGTTGTGTCCATGGAGGAGCCTGTGGGGCTGAGCCTGGACCATGTGGCTGGCAGGCTGTACTGGATCAGCGAGTACAAGGAGGTAGGATGAGGGGCAGCAGGGCTCTCTCACACCCAGGAAGATGATGAGGTGGGAGTTGGGAGGGTGGCCCTTGTTCCCCTGTGTCCATGGCCAAAGCATGGGAGGGAGCAGGGAGTGGTGCCTAGGTCTGGCATACATCCCTGGGCTGGGAGGAGAAGGGCCAAGATGTGGGGATGCCATATGGCCACTGTGCCTTACCTTGTCCCCAGTCCATCGAGACACTGCGGGTGGATGGCAGCGGGCGCCACTCCTTCCACGCTGTTTTGCGGAGCCACACGGAGCCGCTGGGCCTGGCCGTGTTTGAGAGCCGGTTCTTCTGGACCGATGGCACAGAGCTGGTGTCAGCCACCTGGGCCTCTCCCCAGGAGCATGCAGTGCTGCTCCGTGCCTCTATCTCAGCTTTCACTGTGCTGCATGCACTGCAGCAGCCTCCCAGTGAGTACCTGCAGGTGCTGCACTGCTGCAGGCCTGGCAGCATGGCAGCTACCCCTGCTTACATCCCTGGGTACTAGGGAAGGCTCACTGGGTCCTGGAGCTCACCAGGTCCTGCCCAGTGGTTTGCCTGGTGCTGTGATGAGGGATTGTGGGGTTGGCACAGAGGGGACCTGTAACACTGTAGGAAAGGCCCATGGGTTTGGGTAGATCTGAGCCCCCTTAACTCACGTGACATTGCTATCCTGCCTCCAGCCCTTATCCAGTCCCAGGACAGTCTGTGGTTTTTGGGGATTGGGAGAGATACTGGGGTCATGACTGCCTGAGCTTTTAACATCCTCCTGCTCCCAGGGGACACTGCTGCATGTGCTCTGGGCCTGTGCAGTCACCTTTGCCTCCTGTCCCCTGTGCATCCTCGGGGCTACAAGTGTGCATGTCCAGAGGGCCTCTTCCTCCTGCCTTCAGGGAAGTGTGCAGGTGAGCAGGGTCTGGCTCTCTGGGGTGATATACATCTGTGTAGGAGTTGGAGGAGGGCTATAACACGCCGTGGCTTTGGTGGGATGAGGTTCCCAGCACACACCAGTGCTGTGACATTTCTGTTCTTGATTCATGCTGGTGACTCTGTCCAGTGTCCCTGGGGCTGTGCTCACACACTGCTCTTACGCTCTGCAGAGCTGTCCATCGTGTATGCATCAGCAAAGTCCATCTCCCTGGTGCATGTGGGCCCTGGAGCACACACCAAACAGGTGCAGGAGTGGCAGGAGCCCTTCCACCTGCAAGATGTGGACTGGCAGAGGTCAGTGCTCTATGGGACAGATGACCATGGGACTCTGCTGCGTGTTGTGGGCCACCCTGGCAGGAGAGAGGCCATTGTGACTGGGCTGCCAGGTGAGACCCTGTGGGGTGATAGAGGGCACATTTCCCTTCCTAATACTCCCTGACACCTGAGGATCTCCTGTGTGCAGAGCACAGTGGTCTGATGGTGCCCACAGTGAGGCCATCAGTTGAGGCAGTGGGCAGCAGTGCCCTGGGTTTAGGGTCTAGGGGGCACCCAGGCAGAGGTGCAGGGTCATGGGACAGCCTTGTAACCACTTGCCTGCTCTTGCCAAGTCTGCTCTGCCCGTGTGGACATCCGCTCGGGGGACCTGTACTGGCTGGCATGTAACCGGAGGGACATCGGGGTGATCCGGACATCTGACAAGTCCCCGCGCATGCTGCACCGTGCTCGCAGCAGCATCCAGCACCTCTTCTTGGACTGGCAGCGTGGCACTCTGTACTGGCTGGGCCGTGGGCAACCCCTGCAGGCACTGAGCCTAGCGGGGGGTGCTCCATGGGATGCCTGGAACGAGACGTGGCCTGGAGACCTGCCTGCAGCCACGGACAGCAGAGCCTTCAGCGTGCTCTGGAGCTCAGCCCTGGGTGAGCCCCGGTGGTATCTGAAGCAGGGAGTGGAGGAGGTGGATGTAGGCAGGGGTGATCAGCCATGCCCCACCATGCAGCAGTTCTCTGCCTGGGCAGTGGGATGCTCATGGGGCAGACTCAGGACCCTGGCCTCAGCCATGAGGTCCCTGCCATAGCTGTGGGTTGTGGGGTGCAGGGTGAGCCATGAGGGGTGGGAGAGGCTCCAGGTCCTACCATGCCTCTGCCTCACAGGCCTGCAGGCGCTGAGTCTGACCAAGCGGCAAGCGGTCACCCTGGCACCCAGCTGGTCCCATGGCCTCGTGGCCGCCTTTGAGCCATACCTGGTGTCAGCAAATGGGACAGCTCTGCTGCTGTGGGACCGGAGGACGCTGTCCCTCGTGCTGTCCCTGCCAGCTGCAGGTGTGCAGGGAGTGGTGGCCTTCGTGGGCTCAGAACTGCAGGCTGGTAAGAATGGCCATGGCTTTTTGCCTGGTGCTGCTGATGTACCTGACGGGGCTGGGTGGCCCGTGCTACTCTGAGCTGTGGCAGGGTGCCTGGCTACTGCTGGTCATGTGGGGTCTTTTGGGAGGTGTCTGGAGTGTGGGGAGGGTACGGTCCCAACAAATTCCAAATCTTCTGCCAGTGCCACCAAGCAAAGAATCTGCCGTGCCACTCCTTCCACCTGTGACCACCACCATGAGGACAACCACAAGCACCACTGCTGCTCGGCCTGCCACCTCCACCACAACACCATCACCAAGCCAGACCACCACTGCACTCAGTACTACTCCTGCACCAACTAGCAAGGCTACTACATCACAAACCACCACCAGACAGTCCACATCAAAGAAGACCACCCCTGCACCAACCACTGCCCGGACCACACTGACCAAGACTACCACTGTGCAGCCAGCCACCAGCACCACTCGGTCTTTTACAACTAGGATCACTGCCCCACAGCCAACCACAACCACCCCACGCTCAAACAGTTCTGCATGGGTAGTGACACCTACCCCATCCCTCCAGTCCAGCACTGCACACCCCCTGACCCCAGTTCTCCATCTGTCCTGTTCTCGCACACAAGTGCCCTGCCGTGATGGCACTGGGTGTGTGGCCCAGGAGTACCTGTGTGACGGGGAGAAGGACTGTGCAGATGGCTCTGACGAGGATGGGTGTGCCCAGCTCTGCAACACCCCAGGTAGGAGCCATTCTTCTGTCCCCTGGGCAGCTGGGTCACCCTGTGCCAGGGCTTATGGCTGCTTCCTGATGGGGTTTTTGGGACAGGGTCCTGGTAAAGTCTGTGTCCTCGGCTCTGGTGCTTGTGCTGTGACATACGGGTTCCTTCTGAGCTTGGCACTGGGCTTGAAGTGCTGTTGGAAAAGGATAGAGTTGATCTCACTGCTCATAGTGGCCTAGATGTGGCTGAGTTGAGACTGCCACAAACAAAGCCTTGTCCCTTGTGGGGCCTTTCTAGGTCACTGGAGGGCTAGCAGAGGCTCTGGGCACCCTGGCTGCCTCCTGCAGGCAGTACAAAGCCCCTTGTCTCCCCAGGGGCCTTCCACTGTGCGAGCGGAGGCGTGTGCGTCAGGGCGGGAGAGCACTGCGATGGGGTGCCACAGTGTCCCGACGGCTCGGATGAGACGGGCTGCTGGACCCCCACGCAGGAGTGTGCCCTGCGCTGCGATGCTGCCACCCGCTGCATCCCCAGGAGCTGGCTGTGTGATGGACATGCCGACTGCCTGGACCACACGGATGAGCAGGGCTGTGGTAAGACTCTGGGGCTGAATGGGATGGACTCTTGGGGTTGCCCGCCCCACAGGTAGATGCACTAGGTTTCTTGTGGGTCCAGGAGCAGGCATGCCCAGGGCAATCTGCTGAGAGGATGGGGACAGTGCCCCTGCTCAGCCCTGGCCTTTGCCCGCAGTGCTGAAGGAGTGTGGTCCGGCTGAGTTTTCCTGTCGGAGTGGGCAGTGCGTGGCCCTGGCCCTGCACTGCGATGGTGACCATGACTGCCAGGACGGCTCGGATGAGGAGGGCTGTGCTGTGCCCCGGCCGCTGCTCTGCCGTGAGGGTGAGGTGACATGTTCCCACAGTGGGGAGTGTGTGCCAGAAGCCTGGCGCTGTGATGGTGCTGCTGACTGTAGGGATGGCTCAGACGAGCAGGTGAGTGGAGCAGTGGGGACACAGCCTGTCCCCACTCATGCCCAGGAGGGCGGGTAGCCTTTTTCACCCTCTGCCTTGCAGGGCTGCCCTTGGGAAGAAGAGCTGTGTGAAGACCAGCAGTGGGGCTGCTCCCATGGCCATGAGTGCATCCCTGATGTCTGGCGCTGTGACGGAGAGACTGACTGTACTGATGGCAGTGACGAGGCTGGCTGTGAGCAACACCCTTATTTTATTCCCTGTCTCACCCAGGGGTGCCCAGCATGGAGGGAGATGGGTATGTGTCCATGCTGAGGTGAAGGGCCCCATATGCTGGCTGCCTATTCCCAGCAGCTGTGGTGGCTCCAGGTCCTGAGTAGCTGTTCTCCCTGAAAGGGCCAGTGGCATTTGGATTAATATAGCCTGAAGCCAGGCTACTGGCACAACTCTGGATGTGGCTGCAGTGAGCTCTGGGCAGCCTCTGGGAGCAGCTAAATCTGCCCCAAATGAGCAAAAGGAGCTGGTGGATGAGGCTCAGGGCAGCCTTCCCCACATGTCCCTGCAGGCCACCCTGCTCCTTGCCAGAGTAATGAGTACCCCTGTGGGCTGGGGTCCTGCCTGAATGCATCCCTGGTGTGCAACGGCCGGCAGGACTGCGCGGATGGCTCAGACGAGGGGGGGAACTGCTCTGTGCCCTGCCAGCGGTCCTGCACTCATCTCTGCTACCCCTCGCCCCAGGGCCCTGTGAGTGCCAGCAGCCCTGGGGCAGGGGCTTGTCATACCATGATGCCCTGCTCCAGCTGCAGAAGGGAGCCTCGTGTCCCCAGGGTGGGCAGCTGATTGTGCCTTTCCCCCCAGCGGTGCTGGTGTGGCCCAGGCTATTGGCTTGCTGCGGATGGTCTGTCCTGCGTGGACATAGATGAGTGCACAGAGTGGGGCAAGGGAGCCTGCAGCCAGACATGCCTCAATGCCCCAGGGTCCTACAGCTGTGGCTGTCTCCCTGGCTACCTGCTGGAGCCTGATGGCCACACCTGCAAACTCACTGGTAAGTCCTGGGGTGGCCAAGCAGAGCTGAGGCTGGCCCTGGCCCCCTACAATACACTAGGGGCTGGTGGATACTTGTCCCCCTGTGTCTGCTGCCCATGGGAAACCTCGTAGTCCTGTGAATGGGCTGAGTCCCAGCAAGCTCCAGTGCCTGTGTGAGCTGTGTCCCTTGCGTGCATGTGCTGGGACCATGGGACCTTTAGTACTGAGCAGGGCCCGTGTGGCTCTGTGTTACCCCAGGACCAGAGCCCAAGCTGCTGGTGGCTGTGCAGTCTGAGGTGTTGTCCTATGGCCTGCGGAGTGGCCATGAGGAGGTGGTGCTGGCCACTGACAAGGATCGTGTTGTCTTCTCACTCGACTATGACTTGGTGGAGAGGAAAGTCTTCTGGATGGACCTGGCCACAGAGAGCATCCGTTGGCAGGACCTCAGCTCAGGAAAGAAAGGCACACTGGTGAAAGGTGGGCTGTGATAACGTGGGGTTAGCAGGGCTGCCTTTCCCCCATTGTGCAGTCTCCAGGTTGCACTGGGGTGCCAAGCTGTGATCCCTTATGTGGAGAAGCACTAGTGGGAACAAGGCTGGGAGGAGCCAGAGCTGGAATGGAGGGACCTGGGCTGGAAGCATTATGCCAAAGGGCCATGCAGCTGTCACCCCACACAGGTGCTGCCTCTTGCATGCATTTCAGGTGTGAGATCAGACTGTATAGCAGTGGACTGGCTTGGGAGGAACCTGTACTGGACAGATGGGGTAGCAGGGCAGGTGCTGGCCACTCGCCTGGGGGCTGCCTGGCGAGGGATACCAGAGTACACTGTGGTGATGGATGGAGACCTGGACCAGCCCCACTCTCTGGTGCTCCAGCCTCTGGCAGGGTAAGTCTGGGACAAGAGGACATGGGGACCTCCTTGCCATCCCTGCCCTGCCCCATTTTCCTTCATGGAGGCAGATGAGAGGCTGGGGAAAAGGTGGGATGACCTCACCTTGGTGCTGTGGGGACTGTATGACAGGAGAAGAAAGAGCCTGGACACCTGTCCTTGCCCTGCATGGAGCTCTCAATGAACCCATGATGAGATGGGAAGCTCCAGGCTGCTTTTGTGGGCTGCCTTAGTGCTGAGTCAATGCTGTGTCAGGTCCATAGGTTCGAACCTGTCTTCCCACTAGGCTGATGTACTGGTCAGAGGTGGGGAGCCACTCACGGCTGATGGAGGCCAGCATGGATGGGAGTTGGCGGCACGTGCTGCTGGCCCAGGGACTGGGCTGGCCCACAGCACTGGCCCTCGACCTCCCCACCCAGAGGATCTTCTGGCTGGATGAGAAGCTGGGCGGTGTTGGTTCTGCACGTCTGGACGGCAGCAGTGTGAAGGTGTGGTGGGGCACTTGTGATGGGGCTCTGATGGGGACCAGTGTGGGCACTGACAGCCTCTGTGACAGGTCCTGAAGCTGCGCTGGGTCCGAAGCCCCTTTGCAGCAGCTGTGTGCGAGGGGCAGCTCTACTGGTCAGAGAGGAAGACATGGTCAGTGCAGCAGGTGGACAAGGCCAGCGGCAAGAACAGGACCGTGCTACTCAAACGGCACGGGCAGCCCCATGGCCTCCAGGTATCTTCCTGGGGAGCCCCAAAACCTGCTGTGCCAGCTCTGCTGCTCCCCCACCCTGCACAGCGCTGTTGTCCTCTGAGTGAGGAGGCACTGGCAGCCGTACCCCCATCCCCGTGGTCCTTGAACAGCAGTCTCTGTGGCCAAGTGTCTCTGGTCCTCTGGGACCATCTCTGCCTCACCATCCTGCCCCGAGCTGGGCTGAGTGTGGGCCTTGGGAGCACAGTGTGCTGTCAGTCGTGCTCAGCTCTGCTGGCGGTGCTGACGGAGCTGAGGCTGAGCCTGCTGTCCCACAGGTGATGCACCCAGCCCTGCGCCCCGCGGCCCCCAACCCATGTGAGACACGCGGCTGCTCCCACCTGTGCCTGCTGAGCGCCAGGCACACTGGGCAGTGCCGCTGCCCCGCCGGGCTGATGCTGGCCGCCAATGAGACCACCTGTCTGCCCATCCGTGATTCGGCCTTTGCCCTCCTGGTCTCACCGGCAGCTGTGACACAGGTATCATCCTCTGGAGCCAGCCCTGGGGGCTGCTGTTCTCAACACCGTCAGGGAAGAGGGGTCCACATCCTAGTGCTGCCTCCTTCCTCCAGGTCTACCTGAAGGACCTGCCCGCATCAGCTGGATCCCAAGGGCTTCCCCCACATCGGGCCCTGCCTTTGGCCAAGGTGAGCCGCCTGACAGCTGTTGACTATGCAGTGAAAGACAAGAGTTTGTACTTTGCAGAAGTGGGAGGCAATTCCATCGGACTGCTGCGCCTGAAGGACTGGGGACGGCTGTCCTGGAAGAAGGCAGTAGCTGTGGAGGGCACGGTGACATCCCTGGCCTTGGACTGGCTGAGTGGGAACCTTTACTGGATTGGGGGGCAGCCACCCATCATCCATGTGGCAGCTCCCAGGGGGCGGTGGGCCCTGGCACTACTCAGCGAGGGGCTGCAGGGTGCTGCCTGGCTGGCACTGTGTCCTCGTGCTTCCACCATGTGCTTTGTCACAGCAGCTGGCAGCCATGGGCGTGGCGCCGTGGTGGAGTGTGCGGCCATGGACGGCACTGGCCGCAGAGTGGTGTGGAGGAGAGCCCGGGCTCCCACTGGCCTTACCTTTGGGGGTGCTGGCACCAGGCTGTACTGGGCAGACCACGGTGAGTGAGGACTGAGCCGGGGCACTGCGGGGGGTAGCAGAGGTGCAGGTGCTCAGTCTGCAAAGCACAGGCTGGCACAGCCCTGAGCCCTCTCTGTCACCACCCTGAAGCCTCTCCACCTGTGCCTTGCAGAGAGAGGTACCATCAGCAGTGTTGAGCTGGATGGATCCCGCTTCCGGCTGGTGCGGGAAGGGCTGCATGGTCTCTCACTCTTTGCCATAGGAGAAGGCTTTCTGCTCTGGAGCACAACCTCAGCCAATGGTAGGTCTGTCTGCTATGCCTTGCCCAGCTCCTCCTACTGCACTAGGTCACGGGGTTCTGCCAGTCCCTGTGGAGTGCAGGCTTCCCCCTCTGTGGGGTGAAGGGCAAGCTAGGGGACACCCCACCTCCCAGCTCAGGCACCCTTGTGGGAGGAGGTGGAGCAGTGCTGACCCCAGGTGTCTCCAGGCTCCAGCAAGATCTGGCACAGCCGGCTGGAGCAGGCTGAGAACTGGTGGTTCCCGATGGAGCAGGAGCTGGTAGCCATGAGGATTTACAGCCAGTTCTCACAGGAAGGTGGGTCTGGGACCGCCCAAGCCCAGGGCATCTGCAGGGTTCAGCTGTGCCTTGCAGTGGCCGTGCTAACCAGTGCTGTTTTGGCAGGCACCAATGGCTGTGCAAAGAGCAATGGGGGCTGTGCCCAGCTGTGCCTGCCCAACCCTGCAGGGCGGCAGTGCCGCTGCTCTCCCGGGTACCACCTGGTGCATGGGGCAGCGTGTGCGCTGGTACCGCCTTGCCCCGCCCTGCTGCAGGCCTGCCCCGACCTCCAGAGCTGCATTTCCAGAGAGCAGGTCTGTGATGGGCGCCCCGACTGTGCCGACGGCTCCGATGAGTCTGACTGTGAGTGCCTGGCACAGCCGGGGCGTGCTGGGGTCCTGGGCACGGGACAGCCTGCCCAGTCTCCCCCAGTTTGGGAAGAGGGTCTTACCTGAGTCTCTGCTGATCCATGCCCCTCCCTCCAGGCGCCTCAGTGAAGGTGGGGACGGAGGTCCCTGCAGTGGCACCATCAGGAATGGCCCACGTAGAACAGCAACCAGTCTCATCCATAGCTGCACCCCAGCCTCGGCAGCCCCGCCCCAGCCTATCTGCAGCCCCTGGCCCCCAGGAGCACGGAGAGCCCTTCGTGGTACCCCCCAGCACGGAGGAGGTGCTGGGGGCTGTGCCCTGCAGCAGCGAGACATGCAACCTGCGCGGGGAGTGTGCCATCGAGGCTGGCCGAGTGACGTGCCACTGTGCCCTGGGCTATCGTGGCGACTACTGCGAGGAGGCCGAGGTGCAGCCCCTGGCAGGACCCATTGTCCTGGGGGTGGCCGTGCTCCTGCTGCTCGCTGCTGCTGCTGTGGGGGCCCTGGCCTACATGCGGAGGCGGGACAGGCGGAGGAGGTGAGCTCTGTGGCTGGACTGGGCCAGGTACAGCTGGGAATAGGGGCAGGGTCTCCTTGCCCAAGGACAATGTGGAGTCCTGATGCACTCCTGGGTTATATGGAAAGCTCCAATCACCCCAGCAGGCTTTTACCAGGGGCTGTGGCAGGACTTTGGGATCTGCCCCATCTCTAGGAGTTGACCATGCCATTCTCGGTGTAAATTTTCCCTCTCTAGGACCTCGAGCGCTGCTTCCACTCGGGTGCTGACCCTGTACCACCGTGAAAGTGATCCAGAGGAAGAGGATGAGGAGGAGGAAGAGCTTCCCCCCAAGAGTGATACATTTGTCAATGAAGCTTACGAAGGGAAAGAGGTGAGTAGCATCTGGAGCGGGCCCTGCTAGGGACCCCTCTGCCACCCTGTAGTGCCCCAGGGCCCAGTGCTGGCATGGTGCCCACTCCTGAGGCAAGCTCTGCCCTCCTGCTGAAGGAGAGGGCAATACCAGGGGTGCCTAGAGTCTGACATGGCTGTCCCACTCTGTGCTAAGGTGTGGGATGGGCTTAGAGAGGTTGGGTCAGACTCACCCCGATACACTGCTCTGTGATTTCTGCAGGAGCTGCCAGCCCTGCTGAGGAAAGGACCATCTCACATCAACACCGTGATTTCATAAAGGAGCCTTGTGCAGCATCTCTTGTGCCATTGTGGTTTGTGTGTGGGCCGGGGAGGGGAGGTTGGTTTGCTCTTTCTAGATGTCTAAGACCTAGGGAATGTAAGAATCCAGACAAAAAATGTTTGGGAGGTTTATCAGGAAGTCTCCAAGCCCAACACACTCTCTGATACTGTCCCTCTGCAGCAAGGCTTATCTTGCTGACCAGGGTGCTTTGGGCTCACCTGGTATAAGAATCTGGCCAAATAACTCTTCAAGGAAGCTGGCTTGGCTCTTACCTTGTTATGCAGGGGGCTGAGAAGGGTTTTATAGTGGAGTTCTGACCTCCTGAGTGTCCCTTACAAACCAGTGAGACCAGTTTTACCACCTCACACCAAGCTAATTTTGAAAGGGGAAATAAATGCTATTTTTTTTCCTCCATGATCTTCCTCTCCCCACCCTCCCCACTCTGCCCTGAAGTGGCTATGCTCCAAGAAAGAGAATATCTCTTCAAGAGTTGATTTTGACCATGGGGGAAAAGTCCTTTGGGAAAGTGCTATAAAAGCTAGCTGTGTCCTTTTACAGACCTTTCCTCCCTGCTTCAGGCAAAACACAGGAAAGCTGGGTGAGCCGTGCCCACTGGCTCTCAGCCCAACCTGCTGGCAGAAAGCCCATAACCATCCCACACCACAAACCCATTGCTTTGAATTTATTTTGCTGTTCACACAGTCCTGAGCTGAGCAGAGACGTGAGACAGGTGCTCCCCTCCCCTACTGCCAGCTCTGAAGGTTACACACTTCTGACCTGTGTTGCTTACATGGGAACACCAAAGCTGTCTCTGCCCAAGCTGCTGTGCATGGTAGAGGAAGGTGAGGTAAAAGCAGCACGGAGGAACTGGAGCCACTTCTGTTCCTCAATCCAGCATGGCTTTGGCACAGTTGTAGATCCTGGAGCACAGAAGTCTTTTGAGGAAGTTGCAAATATTCAAAACAGGTCCTTGGTCTTGTTTCCAGCCTGTTCAGAGGAGCCCCAGGAGAAGGGTATGGCTTGTTGGGGCAGAGGCCAGCACTGCTCTTGATGCCAGGGAGGTGACAGCTGTCCCAGTGCTGGGGCTACAAGTCAGAGTCACAGGGTGGGCTTCTCCCCCAGCACTGTCCATCTTGCTCATCCTCCAGCACGTCCCAGGGATTGTTGTAAGCTCCACTGGTGCACGACCCAGCCTCTGTCACAGGGGTGGGGGACAATTTGGGAGCTCTGCGCTCCTTGCAGTAGTGATGGAAGCTGAGGGCAAGGGCCAGCCCCCCCAGGATCTCCAGACAGCTTCCCAAATAGCTCAGTACCAAGCTGTAGCCTATGGTCAGCGTGCTGCCAGGCGGTGCAGGCAGTGCCCACAGCTCCTGGGTGTACCAGGAGCTGGGCACGAGGCTCATCAGCCCAGAGAGGAGCAGCACCAGCCCTGCCACGCCGGCCACCAGGTGCCGGGGCTCCGGCTGCCAGCAGCGAACACCCAGGGTAGCCACCACCAAGCCCACCAGGGTGACCACCAGCGAGGAGGGCATCAGCCCTTGGGCCACCCGCACGGGCACCTGCTCAAAGTAGCCCAGCCCGTCAGCCTGCCCGCAGAGGCGGTCATGGGTGCTCTGCTGCTCCCGGCATATGTCCCAGATGCCCTGCTCCCAAACGACGTCCATGGGCTGGTCAGGTACGAGGCTCACCTGCCTCCAACTGGGTGCCAGCGTGCCCGTGAGTGTCAGCAGGAGCCCGCAGGGGCACAGCACCATCCCCACGATCATCTCCGTCGGCGTCCGCATGCTGGGGAGGTGGGTGAAGCGGGCTCCAGAGGGCTTCTGCTCGCCCGAGGTCCGCGGGAGCTCCGGGGCTCGCTGGACAGGAGCTGTGCACGGGTGCAGGCAGGGCGGCGGTCCCAAGGCCGTCCCGGAGCCCCTCAGGCGCTGCCGGAGCCCCTGAGGCGGGCAGCCCGCGGAGCCGGCCCGGGCCCGGGGAGGCGCGGGCAGGAGGCGGTGCCGGCGGGCGGGGCCCGGCCCGGGCAGGGCTGGCCGGCACCTGCGGCGGGGACAGCGCCTTCCAGGGCTGCGGGAGCCCGCGGGGAGCGCCCGAGCTCCGGCCCCCGCTGTCCCCTCGCAGGGGCCGGGATGGGGGCCGTGCCCGGGCTGCTGGGGCGGAGTAGGACCCTGTTACAGCTCCCTTCACTAACTGCATGCCAGCTTATTTTGCTATCAAATTAGTTAACTAATTAATTAAAATAATTAAGATGAAATTCTGGCAGATCTCACGTTTGGTAACTGGCCCAAGAGACCTCCCCATCTCCCCTAGTCCTTCAGGGAGAGCTCCTGAGCTTGGCCCTGCTCCTCCCGTCCCACGCTGCCCTCAGAGGGCACCGCAGACGCAGCAGCCTGGCTCTGGGCAGGAGGAGTCCCTGGGATGTCCGCTGAGACAGGTACGGGAAACCACCACATTTGAGAGCGCCAGTGTGGGATTTTGAGCCCCAAAAAGCACTCGTCTTGGGCCTCACCAGACTTCCCTGAGTTTCTGCCAGTCACACTGAGCCCAGGAGAGGGCAGCATCCTCTGCGGATCGATTTGGGATGAGCAACGCCAGCTGAGCTGGAAGGTCGGCTTGCCTGTGTGTGCCCCACGGCATCTTTGCACCGCTGCTCCTGGCCTTGGAGGAAGGAAGGCCTTCCGTCTGCAGGGCTGGGTGGGTCTGTGCTGGACCAGCTGCCCCCGGCTCCCTTCCCCGCTCCTCCGTCCCACAGCTATTTCTCGAAATCCTGAAGCCCTTCAGCTCTCTGGGTGCCAGATCATTTTGGGGAGGGATTTTGAAGTTATCAAACAGAGGATCTTAGTCCAGCTGGAAGGCAGGGGTGGGTTGGACTCAGCCAAAGGCTCATGTCTCCAGCCATGTCTACAGAGCAGCCAGATGAGCGTAGCTCCAGAACAGGAACACCTGGCTTTGTGGTATGTAGCCAGTAACTTGCTAAAACTTGGCACTCCTCATCTGGAAAACTAAGCTAGGGGTTGCTGATTCCTTTCCCATCCAATTAACTTCTGTAACTTCTACCCTACTCCAGCCACTGACTCTGTGCCAAGGCATTCACTACTGCCCTGGGAGGTGGGGTCCAACCAACACATCAAATGCTGCCGGCCTGATGTGTTTCCCGAGTCTGCCTTCTGCCATGGGATCCCCACACAGGAACAGGTGCTGCAAGCCTAAAATCTTATAGTTGTGACTCTCTCATGACCAGTATCTGGACACCTTTCCATCTGGACACCAAGTGGAGGTTGGCTGTGAGATGTAGTGCTCCTGGAGGAGAGGGGGACAGAGGGAAAGGGCTGGTAGCAAGCCGGGTGGCACAGTGCCATGAATGAGTGCCTGTCAGTGCCCTTTGCCTCCTCCCCGCTCAGGAGGCTTTTACTGAGGTGACAAATCACAGCTTGGTGGCAGTGCTGTCAGGTACAGCAGTGGTTGCCCACGGACCATCCAAGCCAAGCTGTGAGCAGGTGATAGCAAGCCCTGAGTCCTGCACGACTCGCCAGGACTTTTCTCCCCATCCCAGATGTGTGGTGGGCATGTGCCAACCCTGACGGAAAGGGAGGAATTGTCCATTTTGTTGGATTTGCCCACATTTTACCCAGAAAGGCTAAGAAACTGACAGGGTAATGCCCACCCTAGGCTTTGCAGTGCCTGTCCTAGAATCCCTCTCTCTGCAGCACCTTCCTTTTCCTCTCATCTGTTCCTCCTGCAATGCTGTGCCCCTCTTGCCCTTGCTCATGAAGGCTTGAGTCTGGGAGGTGGCCACTCCTTGGATCTGCAGCTGCAGTAGAAGCTGGATCCCAGGAGTATCACAATTATGCACCAGGGCAGGTTTAAAAACCTGTGCCTTTCCAATTTATTAATAATGCCCAGGAGGATGCATCTGCCCTTTGGGCTGATGCCCAGGCTCCTGACTGTGGGACAATGATAAGCAGATTAGGTGATGTGGCCCTGATGCTGGATGACCTGCCCTAAGTAAGCTTGGGGAAGGAAATGGGATTAACAGAGCTGTTTCCCGTTGCCACAAAGTTGTAGATTGTTCATTTCTTCTCTTTTACTTTCTAATGAGGTGGTATGAAAAGCAATTCAAAGAAGTGCCTGGCTCTTTCCAAGCTCTGGGGAAGCATTTAAAGCCATCTGGCCTCAGAGATAAAATGGTCTGGCTGAAACTGCCTTCCTTCCCACATTGCCCTAGCTACTGAGTGGGAAAAGCCACCTTACTTGGTGTTTTCTGCTTCTCTAAGCCTGTGACTTAGTTTTTCCTACGTTGTCACAGTCACCTCTTTAAGAACGTGGTGGAAACTTTATCCAGGCCTGGTTGAGTTGGCTTGCATTTTATTACTATTTTTTAACACCCCATTGTAAATTGGAACAGCAGCAGAAGGCCTTGAGCTAATTGGACCTGGAAAAGTTCTAGGGCAGGATAGTCAGAACTTGAGACTGATTTCAAGGAAGAATTTTTTTTTTTTTTTAATTTCATTATGAGGTATTTAGTGTTGAGTTGCTTCTTCCAGCCCCAAATAGCCTGCATCACTGAAGGCTGGGAATGAATTTGGGGCAATATTCCTATGTTCAACCTGTTCCCTGCCTCTCTAGCTGTCTGCTTCCAGCCACTGGTGGTGATGGCACCTAGAATGGACAAGTACTAGTGTCTCTTAGGTGACAGCATGAGGTCAGTGTGGATAGGACCAGTAGCTTTTGGGTTACCCCATTGTCACACTGGCTGAGCAGGGTTTGCCTGATGCCAGCAATGGCCAAAGAACACATGCACACAACAATCTCCACAGCTTCCTATGTGATTCATAGTCTGATCAGACTTCTAGGCCCAACTGAGCTTTCAAAATGTGGCTCTGGAGAGAAGAGCTTCCCTGCACAAAGGTAGCTCTGCCCCTCCATTGTCAGCACTGAGACTTGGGGACAGGGGGTCTTTTTCAAGGAGGTTACTCTGAGTCCCTTCCTCAGCAGCAGCAGGATCTCTCAGCATCCTGTTTGCTGTGTGGGGAACAGTTGGGGCCAGGGCTGTTTAGCAGGAGCCTGCAGCTGGTAATTCCTGTTTACATCCCACTGACCCTGGGGCTTTGCCTGGGTCACATATGGCAAGATGCCCCCATACCACCACAGTGTCTGCGTGTCCTGCAATTTACACTGTACCTGATTCCTTCTTGGCCTCAAAGTGGGTTTGGCCTGTGCTTGACACCAAGCCATAAGGCTGCCAGGTCTGTGGACATGTGCTGTGTCACCCTGGGTTGCCCTGTGACTGGCAGGTAGCCAGCAGGCACAATTCTTGAGCCTGGCTGTATATCATTTATCCTCTCTCTCACCTGAGGAGAATTCACTTTGCAGAGTGTGGCAGTCACCTGTGTCTTGCCTGATGGGAACTGGCTGAGAACAGCGCCCTTGCAGGCAGGACCTGCACTTAGGAGGCTGCAATTTCCTCTGGTCTAGACATTTATGTAGCTCCACTATCCATCTGTGTTTACCTTTCAGTTGAAACCCTAAATCCCTGCAGGCTGGGAGCAAATCATGATGGCTCAAACAGTCCATGCTGTGCTTTTTAGCATTAGACCTGGTTGTCTAAGCCTCTCTTCAGTCTCCATCCCAAAAGAAAACTTCCTCAGCCAGGTGTCCAAGTTGAGTGATTTTGTTCTGACCATTCAATTTTGCTGCTTTTTCTTTCAGCATTTTGCATGGGGCAATTTCTAAGAGTGCAAACTGAGGGCTCTCCTTGCTCTCAAGCCATGGCCCCTGCAGCATGTGAGTGCAACTGGAACACGCTCTGCATTGTGCAAACAGCTGCAGTTGCAATGGGCTTCTCCCAGCCCAGCTCCCAGCTTCCTCCCTGGACACACACACTGCTGTCATTGTCCCTGCTGGAAGGCCAAGGATGAGCCCCAGGCAGGACAGGGTCTGTGATCCCCCTGGCTGGTTGAATGTGGAAGAGAGATCTGTGTGTCCTCCCCAGAGCATAGACAGCAATGGTCGTGACCCAGCAGGCAGCTCCATGCCCCAGCTATCCAGCATTTGTGGTGGCACTTCCATGAGCAGATTTATTAGCCTGCCACTTGCCCATTGACCTGACCCCTGACCATAGTGGTAACAGGAGCCCTGGGGATGCTCTCCAGAGGTGTTATCAGAGAGCAGGGATGTATTGGGCATTAAAGGGCTTGCATTACCCATACTGGCAGGTCTCACTCCAGGGCTGGTGCCCAGCAGTGGCTTAACATACCCAGGCCTGTGGCCATTGCAGTTTTGGCTGTTCCCCCTGCTCAAAATTCAGTGTGAGGAATCTGCAATTTGGGGTCAGCATCCTGTAACGCCTGCAGGGAACAGTAAATCCATCAGTGAGCACTGAGGCCTTTCCTGCTCTATTTTTGCAGTCCAGCTGTGGATCTGAACACTATTCAGACAGGATCCTGGGAATGAGCTGTTGAAAGCCTTATTAGATGCCCCCCAGGTATTCACTCATCCGTTAACCTCCCTCACTTTTTAAACTGCTGCACTTGGACATGCCAGATTGCCCAGTGCTGCTTTCAGTTCCGAGAATGATACAAAAAGCATTTTTGCAGTTATATCTATTTTTGTCTGACTCAGTCCTGAAATGGTTGGGAGTAGTTTAGACATGAAGTCTTGTGCTGGGGTTTGGAGGTGCAGCACTTTTCAGACAGGAATCAAGAGAGCAGTTAAAGCTGTGTCTGGCTGTGGAAACTGCATGTTTGTCCAGTTCCTGGGCCACAGATCTTGCAAACTAAAGGGCAAA